TCTGGCAACAAGTGAGCGGTAACGGAGGCAGTAAAGCAGAGCAGCAGCAGCAGCAGCAGTGGAGGAGGACAAGTGCCGATAGCGGTAGGTACTACCTACAGTGGCGATGGAACGCTGCTTCAATCGGGGATGTTATTGTAGTCGGGGAAGATGAGCACTAATGATGGAGAACGACAAGGCAGTGACACACGCAACACACACAAACACAGACACAGATTGAATGGGTGGCGGAGAGGCAGCCTGTCACCAGATGTGTCTGTTTCTCTCCGAATAAGTGAGTCACAGCAAAGGAGGGGGAAGTTAGTGGTCGCCACTGGTTGCACACTACTCTGCTATTTAGCCCTGTTGCCAGTGCGACCATATTCCCGCCAGTTTTCGGTGGCAGTCATCACTTGATCCGATACTGCCACTGACTGACTGACTGACTGAGTGCCGCTCACTCGATATCGTAGTCATCGAATAGCCATCAATAGAGGTGATTAGGGCATTTGTAATTTGATACTGCACACAGCCTTTGTAGGAGAAAAATGCACATTCACGACGGTGTGCTGGCGGGCAGCATAGTGGTAGATAAGCATCATCGCAGCCACCACCACTTGCTGCCCAGCATGCCGTCAGGGCCCCAGGACAGCCTCATTCCCTTGTGCCCTCAGTAAGCAGTGGACAGCCATAGCAGCAACAGTAGTAATCCCCACCACATGACAGTTGTCAGCTGTTAGTCGACAGACTGCAAGCACAGTAAGCGCCGCTGCAAGTGGCGCGCCCCCACTGTCACTGGTGCCATAGTTTCCCTCTTCTCTTTGAAGCTAAGTAGTCTGCTTCCATGGAAACGCCCACTGCAGATCAGAGAACACCGCTGCTGGGCGCCGAGCATCGATCGGCAGCTGCCTCAGTGCAGCCCATCAATGCATCAACAGCTGATTCCATTTGGGCCGAGGAAGGCGCGAATGAAACAACAACAACCGCAGAAGCAGCATCCACTTCGCCTTCTCTGGGCTTCTTCGCCGTCGTCTTTCTCACCGTGAACGCCACCCTTGGAGCGGGATTGCTCAACATACCCTACGCCTTCAGTCAATCAGGTGGAATAGGGCCCGCCACAGCTGCTCAAGTGGTTAGTTCCGTTTTGTTTACTATGCTAAATTACTACTACAACTTTTTACTACTTTCACTACAGCTTCACGTCATCTTGGTGATCATATCACTGCTCATCATCAGCGGCTGCTCTGGGATCTCTCAGTCTGACTCACTGCAAGGCATCGTTCACTACTTCTGCGGCCCAAAGTGGAGGCATGCTTGTTCTCTCTTCATTGTGCTCTACTCTTATGGCGCCTGTGTCACTTACGTTATCATCATTGGGGACCAGTTCAACAAATGTTTGTCATTGCGTCATCTCTGTTCCCATTCCACTAGCTTACATTTCTCTTTTGATTTCAGTTTTCGGGACATTTTATCCTGATTTGTATGGCCAGCACTGGTACTTTAACGGCGACATTTTGATCATCACTGTATCAACAGTCACAATACTGCCGCTATGCTTCTCCAAGCACATATCCTTTCTCAAGTTTGCCAGGTAGGAAGTCTATGGGTTTTGAAAATTATTTTAAATAACACTAGTTCTATTTACAGTTTCTTTGGTTTTTGCTGCACCACCTACCTGACCATTCTCGTTTTGGTGGAGTACATCAAAGTTGAGCAGAAGCAGCATGTCCCGCCGACAATCAATGTGGGACCTGAAAAGTGGAATGACATATTCAAGTAAAAGAGTCTGAAACCTTTTGATAGTTATGATAATTTTTGTTGCTTTTTTTCCGCAGTGTCATACCAGTGTTGACATTCTCCTACCAGTGTCAGCTGAGTTGGGTGCCGACCTATGCCCAGATCAAGCATCGGCGAAGTTACTGGCGTCTGTTTGGCATGATCATTGTTTCCATGCTCATCTGCTTCATCAGCTACACATGGACTGCAGTCTTTGGCCTACTTGCCTTTGGTTCGGATCACATTGAGAAGGACATTATGCAAAACTACAATCCCAAGGATCCTTTTGTTTCGTTTGGTAAGTGTCTTACAAGTTTGAAGCTTACCTCTTTACTTACTAAAACTGTGTCTTAACATTTTTGCAGCAATGATTCTGCTCATTGTGAAGACCATCGTCGTTTACCCCGTGCTCCTGTTTTGTGGACGAATAGTTCTGGAGGAGTTCATAGCGGACTTCAGCTTTGCCAATCGACGCCCACTCACCGCCCGGGTGTGCATCGCCACCGTCTGGGTCCTCAGCAGCTGCACCCTGGCCATCCTCGTGCCGAACATCGCCGTGGTCATCAACTACCTCGGCTCACTGGCCATTTTCTTCGTTTTTATCTTCCCCGGACTTTCCCTGTACCAGTCTCTGTTCAACTTGGAAAGGCTTCAGGCGATTCAGGTGGAATTTCCGCTGTTGCGCCGAAGGCTTGCCATTTTCAGTCTAGCAGTGCTCTTCATCTCCTATGGCACCTTTATTTTGGTCATATCAGTTTACCAGTCATATAAGCAGACAACCAGCAGTCAGTCGTAGTATTATTTTAATGAAATTAAAGTTTTTAGTCAACAAGTCTGAAGTGAGACAACAACCTACAAGTGCTTATGCATGCTTTTTAATTGTGTCAAGTGTTCTCGTCAACAAGCACACACTTTCAAAGGGATATTTATATAAGGGTCAATTGTGTAAAGAAGCAAAATATAAGAAAAAGAATATTTAAAGTTTGTACTGATGCAGGGGAAAGGAGGGGACGTGCAGTGCAGAAATATGAATGCGTGGGGATTATTGTTGTTGAGGGTTGAATAGATCCAGTGCAGAGGGCAAAGGGGTCACAGTGGGCAGTTGACTAAGATCGGGCAATTTTTGCAGATGTGATTTGAGCTCTTCGCGAATCGTGAGAACCTGCTTCAGCTTATCGCGAAACTCCTGCTGGTACTTCTCTGCCTCTGCCAGCGCTCGCTTCTGTCCCTCAATAAAGTAGCTCAGCATTACTGAGAGCTGCTTTCGATCTTCCATTTCCTGTTTTAAGCGGGTGTTGTAGGAGGCGATGACGCTTTGAGCCTTGTCGACCAGCCCAAACCAGTGAACCGCCGATTCAGGAGTCAGTACCTTCTCCATCAGGCTCACATTGAACATTTCGGGGGGAAAATTGGAAATCTTTTTTCTGGTAGTTTCGTCAGCTGATGCACAGTTCTCTAATTCTTTTAATGATTTAATCAGTTTATCTGGCTCAACTGGCTCGTACTTGGAAAGGTCAACTTGAGGAAGGCTATCTGTGTCGCTGTACTGCGAGGAGGATATAGGTGCCAACCAGGAGGCATCCACCGGGTCTGTGGCCGTCTTCTTACGGGCAGCATTTGCATCCTTTACGTCCTCAAGCTCTCTTTTTCTCACCGGGGCTTTACTTGGAGGATTTCTGTTCAATGCTGCCGTAGATACGTTTGCTGCACCATTACTGCCTCCGCCATTTTCCTTGGCACTGCCATTGCCACTGTCATTTGAGTGTAGTGCCTGGCTAAAGCTCTTGATAGATGCCTTGTCGTAGACACTTCGTTCATCCCACACTTTGATGATTCTGTCAAGTGATGCCAGTGTTGCCGGATCAATATCTCTGTAATATAGTAACATGTTAGGTCTTCCTATGTAATTCATTCATTCGTGTCACGTACTTTGCAATGTGCTGGAAGCTAGGCTTTAAAATTCCATGAAATTCCTTGGTAAATTCGGTCCCTTTCTTTTTGCTGTTTTGAATAACATCGTTTGCCAAGTACATAAAAGCGACTCGGCGACTTGCTTTGGCTGGAAAGACATGAATTAAACAATACGACCAAAAGTGCATCACTTTTTTCTTACCTTGTTTTTTCAGCTCCCTGAACCAGATTTGAATAATTGTTTTGTAGTGCTTCCGATGGTGTATGAGCCACATGGAGAGAGTCTGGATACATTGTTGTGAAGCATTAAGTGCGTTGAGTTTCGTCTCAAATGCTTGTTCATTGAAACCAGGCATCGTCACTTGAGGCAGAAGAGGGTATTTGTGTAAAACGGATGATTCTTGACGAAAAATGGTAAGCGGTACCAAGACAATTAGACAAATTGAGGAAGATGGTTTGGCCGATTTATGTTCATCTTGCAGAGAAAGAGAGAAGTTATGCAATCATCAACTGATGATTAGCATCATAACAAAAGGAGAAGATTGAGCATTGTAGAATCTGGCAAGCATGGAGAAGAGATTTGTTCAGCTGCAAACCAAGGGTAATCGAGTCCACTTTTCGGCAGTCTTTGCACTGGAAAAACCATCAACTCTCAGTACCTTTCCTGCACCAAAACAGCTGAAAAACGAACTCAGTTGACAAAAACATGATACTGTAGCGCTGCGACGGGCAAAGCGCGAACTAAAAAACGTGCTTCATTTTTCTGCATTTCAATGAAAAGTAGTCCATTTTCAAATAAAGATTAATCAGCGTTGGCTAGGTCTTTTGATTTGGAACAAAAGCTTATTTTACGCAGAAAAACTTCTAGTTTAATTCACATCAATGCCAGGTTTTTAAATCTTTTGTAAACTAGATCAAACAAGAGATTAAAAACAGCTTTCGTTTTTCTTCAAAACAGCGACTATTTACACTTTTACATGGCGATTTTTCTGAATTTTCTTTTCACAGCTGTCAGGCGAGTTGACTAAGCGAGGGGTCTTTGTCGGCGCATTCCAAATTCGGTCCAGGACACGGCGAATTCTCTTGGTCTGTGACAACTTTGTAATTGAGCACACCGACAACAACATTGTTACAAAAAGTTGATCAACATGAGCAACATGATCAACCGGAGGATCAACCTGTAAGTACCGGCTTTTTGGTTGCTCATTTACGCTTGTGTTTATTTACCTTGTTTTTTAAACCTGTGCAGGTATCCACTCTCCAATTACACATTTGGAACAAAGGAGCCCCTTTTTGAAAGGGATCCATCGGTGGAAGCACGATTTCAGCGGTTGCGAGATGAATTTGAGAAAATCGGCCAAAGACGCTCTGTTGAGGGAGTCCTTTTGGTTCACGAACACAACCTTCCTCATGTTCTGCTGCTGCAACTAGGAACGGCTTTCTTTAAGTTACCAGGCGGCGAACTTAATCCAGGCGAAGATGAAATTGAAGGACTGAAGCGACATTTGACTGAGGTAAACTTTAGTTTGCGTGATTAATCCTTCAAATAGATTTACCTTTGGTTTCACAGACATTAGGGCGAAACGATGGTCAAGCGATGGACTGGGACATTGAGGATACCATTGGCAATTGGTATCGACCCAACTTTGAGCCACCGCAGTATCCCTACATAAGGTGAGCAGTCTAAATAACCTTTTATTTGTTTATTCTAACAAATCATTTACAATTTTCAACCTCATATAGTCCTCACATTACCAAGCCTAAGGAACATAAACGTCTCTTTCTTGTGCAGTTACCCGATAAGGCGTTCTTTGCGGTGCCCAAAAACTACAAACTGGTGGCGGCACCCCTGTTTGAGCTGTACGACAATTCGCAAGGATACGGACCAATCATCTCAAGCTTACCGCAAGCGCTAAGTCGTTTCAACTTTCTCTACATGAATCAGCCGGAAAAGTAAAATTTAAATTGGAATAAATGCTGCTTTTTCTCTCTTGTGTAGTATATTTTGCATCATGTAATTCATTTCTTTCAGTATAAAACTATCCATTCTGACTTCATTTTGACAATTTGTTTCTTTTGTATGCCCAATATTTTTGTGAAACTCATTAAACTATGATTATGTTTTGACACCGTTTGATAGCTTTCAGAGCAGAGCCTTCTTCTGTTTTGTTATATTTAAACTGATAACAGCGCCCTCGGCGCACTTTGTTTTTGACCGCGCGTGCGACATTTCATCACCTNTAATTTGTTTCTTTTGTATGCCCAATATTTTTTGTGAAACTCATTAAACTATGATTATGTTTTGACACCGTTTGATAGCTTTCAGAGCAGAGCCTTCTTCTGTTTTGTTATATTTAAACTGATACCAGCGCCCTCGGCGCACTTTGTTTTTGACCGCGCGTGCGACATTTCATCACCTTAATCTGTCACATTTGTTGCTGTTCTACTTTGGTAAAATGAGCTCCCTAGGTGATATTTTGAAGCTGTAAGTTTTTTCCCACCCACTCCCAAGTATATGCATATGCTAATCGTTACACACTGATACAGGTATCCTCTAAGCAATTATAAGATAAAAAACAAAGGTTCTGTTCCTAGAAAAGACTTTTCAAAAAAAGAGAACTTGATACGACTACAAAGAGAATATGAAATGAATGGACCCAGGAAGACTGTGGAAGCCGTCATTCTAGTGCATGAACACAAAGTGCCCCACCTTCTCTTGTTACAAGTGACTCGAACACTCTTCTTACTGCCTGGCGGGGAAATGGACGTCGGGGAAGATGAGATCGATTGCCTACGTCGCTATCTAGTGCAGGTAAGTTCACGTGATTTTTGTTTTGACTAAAAGCTTGATGGACTATCTCTTGATTTGCCTAGTATTTAAGCCCAAACTGCACTGATACTTCAGCCATACAGTGGGAAATTGTCGAAAGTGATATAATTTCCAACTGGTGGAGACCAAACTTTGAGTCAATGAAGTACCCCTACATTCCATCTCACATTACGAAGCCAAAGGAGCATCTTCGACAGTACCTGGTACGACTGCCGGAGACGGCCACCTTTTCAGTGCCGCTTAACTATGCGCTTGTGGCGGTGCCACTGCTGGAGTTGTATGACAACAAGCAATCATACGGTCATGTCATTGCCAGTCTGCCGCAGGTTCTAAGCCGATTTAACTTCCATATACTCTAAACCGATTTTCTACTGCAGTATTCCGTGAAATCCGCAAAATGGTGCGTCCTCTGCTTCTGCCTCTGCCTCTGTCCCTCCTTCTAATACGTTTGCATCTGTTGACAGTTTTTTTCAATCGTGTGAAGTTATCACCTGTTCAAATACTCATACAAGAGAAAAGTGACTATGTTGCCATACTCTACGATGCTCTACTTCCATGCTTCGACTAAACCAATTTGCTTTGTTTTTCAAAACACTTCCTTTTTCTCTACATTTTTTACCCTTCAGCCTGCCACCCGCTAATCGACACGACAAATGTTGCAATCGACCGGGTTGAGAGAGGATGCTTTAATTAAAGGCGCAAATGTCACTGGGCTCGAAGGCCAAAAGGCCGGTCTCGGCGGTGGTGATGGCGGTGGCGGCCTGTCATCAGCTTTTGCTGGCTCTCTCTGGCGTACAGGGCCGTCGCCGATGACGTGTGCATGTTGCATGCAAATGTCGGCAAGTCGAGCACTTGACAGCGCCTGACTTGCATTCTACAACTGCTGCCGCCGCCGCTGACTTCTGTCCTCCTGAGCTAATTAATTTACAGTCGATTCAGGCTGCTGCTGATGCTGCTGTTGCTCTGTTGGATGCTCCGTGGATGTTTTGGCACTGTCGAACGCCGAACGCAGCTGCCGCTTCTCTGCAGCACACACACACACTGTCCCGAATCGGTTCTTTCTCCGAGTTGGTTCGCTCAAATATGCACTGTGGACAAGGGCCGTTAAAAGCGCCGGCCACTTGCCACCCAGCGCCATTAGCACTCACTGGCACTCGCTGTTGTTGCCGAGCTGAAACGATGCGGCTGGTGTCGGCGTTGGTGTTGTTGCTTCTATCATTGGCATTGTCTCCTTTAGGACAGCAGCAACAATATTGCACAACCGAACACAGTAGAATCTGTCGTCGAAGTNTGCACAATTGAACACAGTAGAATCTGTCGTCGAAGTGCAGCCTTTCATCTAGCCACAACTACCACCAGCAGCAGCAGCCGCACCATTGATGTGAAACCTGATCGTCTGCCTGACGGTGGGCGATTTCAATTAGATTGCAGGCACAGGCAGCTGATCTAATTGATTGACTCATTGAACTGCCGACAAATGGAAGCAATTTAATCGGTTAATCGCCTCAATTAAATTTACTGACAGGAAATTAGAAGCAGAGAACGGTTAAAGTGAAGAAGTAAATGGAAAAAACGATTCTAAAATCGAGCACTGGTTTTAAAAATGAATCAGAACTGAGGAAAAATTGAAGTGGAAATTTACGCTTTCTTAATTTCTATATTTCGTTCAAAAATTCAAACATTGCAATAGAGAGAATCTAATTTGTGTGGTTGAAGGGGAAACTGTACAGTTTCAATAGTATGAGGTTCTGTCAGCCACAGATTTAATGTGCCTGGAAGGGGCTGAAGCGCAGTAGAAGCAGAAGCAGCCTGTTTGCCTTTTGAAGTTTCATTGTTTTGTTTGTCATTCTGGTGCATCGGCCCATCAAGTGATATATACGCTTCAAAAACTTGGTCTCTTGGCACTAGCAGCAGAGAAGCAGCAACAGCACTAGCAGCAGCATCGACTGCCTGGTCTCTGAAGTCGTCGGTGGTGCTGGCGCACTAATCTAATTGGCAAGGGGCCCAATAGACACACACTGTGCCCGTTCATCTGGGGACATTTAGCTTGCCTCGTTAAAGCGCTTCACACACACACACACACACACTCATTCACCGACTGAGACGGCAGCTTTGCCATCCTCAGATCATGTTGCACGACCTGCAGCAAGTGCCATTTGAGCCTCCATTGCGTCTTCCCTATTCACTTACTACTTTACTGCTCATCACCACCACCACCACTGATCATCGCAAACGCGGCTGATGTGTGTGTGCCTATGTGGGCGCTTATGTGCACCGGAAAAGTAAAGTGCAAAAGGCGCGAATGACCCGAGCAGATCAAAGGGGAAGTAGAAGAGAAAGAATTCGCTGCAGCAGCAGCAGCAGCAGCCAGTGGTGCCACTTTGTTGCCTGTCTTAACAAAACAAACAGTGGTCCAAATGGATCCTTCGACTCCACCACTTGCCGCCACCACTTTTTGGCACTGACTTTTCTTCTTTTTTCTTAGCGCGCCGCAATGTTTGCGGTGTGGCCGTGTGTGTGTGTGGAATTTTCTAATTCTAATTCAAGGTTTGCTCCCAAAGTCTGATGAGTCTTCTACTACTTCCACTACCAAAAGAGAGCAACGACAAAAACTAGCGTCAAACACTATGTTGCCGATAAAAATCTTTAATTTGATTATTTGATTAAGTTTGCTCTATTTTTCTTGCCATCTTCTATCTATATCTATCCATTCTATCTATCTATCTATTATTATTGTTCATACACGCCAGTTGTCAGTGTAAGATGCAAACCGAGAGACGTTGGCAGTGTCTCCTTCCCAATGATTCCTTCTCCTCTGTCCGATCTTATGCTCGACTCACCAAGTGCTGGCCATCATCAACAGCAACAGCATCAGCAGTGGAACATGAGCACACTTGCCAGCATCGGCATCAGCCGAGCCATCATCCTGGTAGCCATGTTGGTGTTACAACTAATTGAGAGAACAATCGGTCCCGTTATCGTTTTGTTTATTCTATTTACTTTCTCCCCACTCTCTCTCCCCGTCACCCCTGCACACACACACACTGCTCTGAGAGAATTCGCCTGATTGCCTTGGAAAGTCTGCTCATCATTTCATCGCCTTCTTCCTTCTTCTGCCCCGTCCCCATCCCCATTCCCCTTACTGTGTGCTCTCTGTCCGTGCCTTGTCACTCATTTGCACTCTTGTGTTCTGTGTACTGAAGCTGACTCTACAGGCTCACTGTGCCTCTCTGGCGCATTCCCTTGTTGGGAGCTGCTGTCGCCAGCTCTGAGGCTACAGTGAAAGTGAGAGGTCATTAGCAAGGCACCTTCAAGATGTCTTGCCATGTATGTGCTCGAGGAGCACTGGAGGAGAGCCAACAGACAGACAAACACTTGCCGATTAAGGCGCTGACGTTGGTTTTGTTCATTTTTTCTTCTGGTTTGCACCACCATCACCACCACCATCCGACCATCATCAGGACAGCGACAACGGTGGCATTGGCTAATAACAACGGTGTGCCTCACTGTGACCACAATCGGTGTGCATGGTAGTAGACACACACTGGCACGTTTCATCGTTGCTGCTGCACACACACTGCCAATTTAGACGGGGCCGCATCGCTTGATTCTAATTGGACACCGTGCTGAATGTGCTCTTTACTTGCAGTGAACCGGGCTAGGAACTGCCGCTGCACTTTTCTACTGCTACCTATGCTACCATTCAGTCAGCGTTCCTCTTTCTTCCCCCCCCCTCCTTCGTCGTCAGTCAGTCAGTCAGTCGGAAATCACTTTGAATGTTCCGTTCCATGTTTATTCGCCCACTGTTGGCTCCATCAACGGAGTGCGTCTATGGTGTCCAGTGTGTGAAGTGGATGCGACCGCTGCCGCCGCCGTCGTCGCTGTCGAATGCTGTTGCTACTGTCTGTCTCTTTCTCATTCCTTTTGCCTTTGCGTGGTCCATTCTCTGATTGCCATTCTCGCTCACTCTCCGGAGACCAGTGTGAGAAGAATGAGCAAATAAACAAATTGAATGAATCGATTCGCGAGTGCCATTTTAATTTTCAAATTGCCAACCACTGTTACTGCTGGTGCAGTGCAGTGCAGTTCAGCTCGCGCTTCTTCACTATTTTCTTTTGCTCCCGTTT